AGGGTGACGCAGCCCCAGCCAGGCACCCCCAGCCTCCCCGGGTGCTCACATGGGTGGCTCAGCCTGGGAGGTGCTGGTGTACGGTGAAGTCATCTCCATCAGCGCCTTGGAGAAGCTCTGTTGGGGGGCAGCATGTCACAGGCACATCACTACCCCATCCCCATCCCCTCTCATCCCCATCCCCTTCCCATCCTCATGCCCATCTCCATCCCCATCTCATCCTCATCCCCATTCCATGCACACCCCATTCCCATACCTACCCCCATCCCATCCCATCCTCATCCCTATCTCCATCCTCATCCCTATCTCCATCCTCATCCACATCTCCATTCCCGCCCCCATCCCGTCCACACTCCATCCCCGTCCCCATCCCATCCCACACCCATCCTTATCTCCATCCTCATCCCCTCCTACACCCATGCTATCCCATCCCCATCCCTATCCCATTCCCATCCCATCCCCATCCCACTCTATCCCATTCCCTTTCCTCCTGCAGCTCCTCACCTCTGCACACTCAGGGGGATCTCCATTGCCAAAGGTGCTGGTCACCACAAGCACCAGGGTCTCATGCTCCAGGGACACCACGTCGTACTCATCCATGCACAGCACCTGCATGGGGAGCAGGATACGGGGCTGGGATGTGGGCATGGAGCTGCAGCTGGCCCACTGCAGCACAGACTGCTGCTCTCCCCATGTCCTCCAACCCACCTTGGGGTCGTGAGATTCCAGGCATAAGTCCGGGATTTGCCAGTCTCAGTGGCATAGAGGATGGTGGCCTTGACGCGTCGCGCCATCATGTGTCCCATCAGCTTTGCCGAGATCTTCACTGCACTGCAATGGGGAATGTGGGATCATTGGGTTAGCATCCAGCCCCAGACTGGGGTCCCATGGGCAGGGATCCTCCCCAAAGACACCCCCCAAAGGTGGTCACCTACTTGGCCACCTCCTTGAATGTCTTTCTCCTGGTGACAGTGGTGCCTTTGGACACATAGACTTTCCACGCATCAGGCTGTGGGGCGGGCAGGGGGTCAGCCATGGGGCTGTAGGGTTGTGGGGCTGTGGAGGTGGTGGGGCTAGGCTCGCCTGATAGCGGAAGGTTGGGCAGAGCTGGTAGTTGACCATCTCCTGATGGAAGACTGGGGTGAGGCTGCCTGAGATGGGGGGCACAATCCAGACCCAGTCAGCCGGGCACCCCCCTCGCGTCCGCAGCTCATTCTCCATGTGCTTCACGAAGGACTCGGTGGCTGCGTGGTGGTCCACGATGGTCACCTTGGCCACCTACAGGTGGGAACAGAGGGCTAGGGGTGCTGGGAGTCCTGGCATCGTGGTGGTGCTGGTGTCCCCTTGGCATGATGGTGCCGGTGTCCCACCTGGTAGCTGTGCAACACGGCGATGTTCACCTCCACCGCCGCCTTGTCCTTCCAGAGGGATGAG